TTTCAGTGTGATTTTTAACCCGGTAGTATATATACATATATTTTTATCCGTTTATCTTTCTTACTCTCTTTATTTTATCTTTCCTACATATCGGGTATTTTCTTTTCAATCATTTTTATTGTAGTTTGCGTTTCTTTCTTTTTTTTTTTTTATATTACATTTAGATACGTGTATTGTAGTTACTATTGTTGACATTATTAAATGGACGTTGAAAGATTTGTAAAAAAGAAAAGTGATAAATTAGTTATATACTAGTGGGAAATAAAAAAGTCAATATATTCCATGAAACATTGAAACGGGGGAAGGACATTGATGGAAAATCTCTCTCTTGAGACTTTCCCTTTCTCTCTTTACGTTGATGTCAACAACAAAATATAAGATAAGAAAAATAAAAAGTAGAGAGTAAAAACAAATATCATTATTCTAATACCATTGTTATTCTATAGAATTAATCTACATGGAATAATTTACGTTACGATATTCAACGAAATGATTTCTGACGTTTACCATATTCTTGTAACACCAAATGTTTGCGTGAAACCCACATTTATTTCTACTATTGTTTCTTATTCATTAAGTCTAATAATAGAAAATTTCTATGTTCCCGATTCGGAAAATATATTATAACAATATGATTGTTAACGCTTCTTGCAGGTGTACGTTTTCATTTCATTTATAATTAAATTTATAAAGATCTATGTTGAATATTTCTTCTTTTTCTTTTCTTTTTTCTTTTTTTTTTTTCATATACTTTTTCTCACTTAATGTCTCCGTCAACGTTTACGTATGTGGTGTTTACAAATATATAGAAAAATACACATAAAAGTGATCGATCGAATTTCATTTGGTCACTTTCATACACACACACCATAAAAACACAAATGCATACAAATAAATTCATAAACTTGTTATATATCATTTGAATTAATAAAATTCAGTTATCTGTATTACTACTGTTCTAAAATGTAACGAAAATAAATGTATTATAACTACGTGATTTGAAACAATTAACAAAACCCTAACGCTTCGTTATATTTATTTAAAAGAAAGGTTACACGTATGCAGGTATTAGCAATGCTTCTTTGAAACGGCGAAAGGTTTAATCAAATATGTAGACAAAATTGTACTCAAAGAGTAGAAACATGTGTAATACAACCACAAAGACTTTGACGTATAGCTATCAGTATAATTAAGAGTAAGAGTAGTATACCACACATGAATCTATTGATAACCCCTTTGACATCGAACTCTTGTCAGCTGCATTGAGTCTGAGTAGATATCCGGTAAAGACCGCTTATTAGTTAAATTTACTTGTAAGTTGTATAATCATGGTTTTTATGAATAAAAATGATCAAATGTTTATTCATTTTTATTTTAATCATTTATCTATCATATATTTTTTACACGATTAATAAAAAAAAAAAGGATTACAAAAAATAAAATATAAGGTTTATATAATAAATATTATTTGTAATGTAGCGTGCAAAAAAGTGATTGGTTCGGAGAGATTTGACAGAGGGGTGGGAGAAGTGCGAGCAGGGTAGGAAATAAGGAAACAGAGTGAATGGGGGAATACGGTTATAAAGCACGTAACGTGATCATGTAATTAATTAACATATAATACGATTATTGAAATAAACTTATTCTGTTTGCATACCAAAATATTTATATATATATAAAGTTAATAAAATATAATAGAGTAAAACATAAATAATAAGGAACATAAATATCAGCTAAATAATTACCAGCCAATAAAAGTCAAATAAATGTAGGCATTGGAGGGTTGTTTACACTGATTATGAGAGAGAGAGAGAGAAGATAAAGCAAACAATTTATTTCAAAATAGCATCTGAATTGCATTTTATGTCGGCTCAAGGAACATTTTTATTAACGTCATCGAGACAATAAATTTCATTTAGATTTCTAAAAGCTTTCCATCTTTCGAGCAAGAGAAAGGAAGTTTCATTCTTGAGTTTCTGAGTGAAGAAGTAAGTAGGAACTTGGTTAAGTTTTAATCTTAATCTTTCGAGGGATCGATATAAGCACATCCGATTGAAGCTTACCCATTCCACTCACCGCACCTTTTATCGTGCATATGGTGGTGACTTCGAAAGCTCGTTATGCTGATCTTATACCTTCCCAAGAAACATTAATACAAATTTCATATTATTAAGCTACACGGTTATGTGTTTTTACAAAATATTCTCTCCAAAAAATCAAACTTTATTTTATTTTTATTTATTTTTTTGATTGTTAAATTTTTTATAAAATTTATTTCACATTTTATATTTAAAATTAGCAAAAAACGTTCCTGCAAATTCGATACTTATACTCGGTTATGTTTCATTCCAAATAGTCTTTTAAAAATCAAACTTTTAACATGAATTTTTACTCTAATTATATTTCTATGATTTATTAAATTTCAACAAAAAACAATTCTTTTTATACTAAGATATTTGTAATCTCTTTATAAAAAAAAGTCATTATTTATGCACGAAGATTTATTTATTTTGTCGTCTGTCGAAGGCAAATTTTATCGAGAAGAAAAATGTAGATCGTAAGTTCTATTAATCTTTGTTTTGAAGTTATAGAAATCTTGTATTAGGTGAAAGTAATGTTTATCACGTCACATTGTTATGTGATATAAATATATTCTATTATTTTCTTTACGATTCAGAATATCGGACATCATTTTTTTGACAACGTTTTCCTATTTGCATGATGCATGTATCGCGTGCGTTGTTTGCATATCGCGTGTTTTTATTCTCTCGAATTTTTTATTTGCCCAGTAACTTTTATAATTCAACGAAGTTGAAAAGATCCTACCAAAAAGGTTTTTTTTCATATTCATTTTTTATATTTTCTTTTTTTCGCGTAAAATCACGTAGAAAGAGAAACTTACAAATAAATAATAAACATTTCTATCATGTTCAAATTAAATTACAGTTCTGCCTTTGTATTTTTTTTCTTTTTTTTTTTTTTAACTTAAATTCAATTATCATAATAATATGTATAATAAAATATAAACTCCACCCCTTCTTCTATTATTTATTTATCATTATTTTTTATAACAATCTTTTATTATTTCTATATAAATGCAATATGTATTTTGTTTAATAAAATATTGTCTAGAAATTAGACGAAATCTTGAGGTATTGCAATTAACTTATATTACCAATACCTAGTTTAATAATATCGAACTTGACGAACATTTATTATTTTCTGCCAGATTTTAATTAAAAAGTATACTATAGATTTACAACATATATATATAAATAAGTAATGCATCACGAATATTATTTTATAGTGGCAGTTCGATTGAAACTCTCATTCGATCGTTAATTTTTGTTCCAAAATTTATCTCCTACACATGTAAACCTATAAATATGTAACTCTCTCAAAAGTAATATGAAATGTGATAAATAAAAAATAATTCATTAAAAATAATGTGTGTGAATGACTCTAGATAGATGTATAGTTTTCAATTTAATTAAATATAAAAAAAAGAATAGACACATGCTACTCTATTCATAAATAAATAAATAAATATATAATTAAATACAATTAATATGAGAGATATATATTGTGATAGATGTATAATTGTTAATTTAAACAAAAATTTAATAAAACAAATATGAAAATTGTATATAAATCCAATAAATAAATATAACATGTAACATGTATTGTATTTACGTTGGTTTATTTTACACCGCAGATGATTCGTTTCCACATGCTACGTGTAATTTATATAAAGATTAATGTAATTAGTTTTGAATCACCTGGCTTTGACATATTATACATAGTACATATATATATGTAGTATATATGTATCAAAGTATTATTTATGTGCTATTATCATTCTTCCATATTTTGTTCATCCGTTCTTTACAATTTATCTCTTCGATATTCGATATAGCACAAAAAACTAGAATTTCTTTAGGGTGTATGCGTAGGTGTGTAAGTGTGCCTGTATGTGTAAGCATTTTTTTTCTTTTTAATCTATGGCAAAGGATTACGTTTTCTAAACGTTACCCAAGAGGCTTAAGTATATATATATATATATATATACTTTTTATATAATACTTTCGTCCCTTTTTTTTATGTTCTCTTTCTGTCCCTGTCCCCCACGTTTCTTTTCTTTCTTTTTATTTTTATAAAGAAAAAGCCAAGAATTGTTATAGCATAGGAACATGGTTCTTATGATTTCTCTATGATGATATCACCTTAAAGTTAGACCGAATTAGGCTAATTGTATTACCTTTAAACTCGTTAATATCTTGTTTTCATTGAAAGTATTTTTTTCTTGAAGTATACGAGATTTATGTTAATTTGTAACAATGGAAGAACGCTGTTTTCGAGATGGAAAGATTATTAAATTTTAATGGAAAACAATTTCTTTTTCTCTTTTCTTTCTTTCGATTTTCATTATTTTTATAAGTTAATTTTTTACTACTATGATCAGGCTTATGTTTTTATTGCAGCTTTTCTTTTTGTATAGATGCGTAGGTATGTTGTAATTACTATTATTATTACTATTACTATTATTACTGCTATTTCAAATAATGTGAATAATATAAGGAAAATTTTGTATTAATTTCAAATTACTTTTAGTGTAGGTGGTGCAGTATAAAGTTAACTATAGATATATTTTATAAAATGAATCTGTAATAAAGATTAATTAAAGAATACTTTTGTATTCTTTTATAAACTATTCAATTAATTATTTATTATTTAATTTATTATTACGTCAATATTGTTGCATAATAAAAATATTATCTTTATTAATGATAAAATGTAATTACTCTTAATGAGAAAATTATGATCGTAAAATAAGTTGGATAAAAAAATCTCAAATATGGAAATGCAAAGCAAAACGATATTACATTATTCGTTTAAATAATTATTTAATATAGAAATTGTGGGTCGTAATAATTATATGATGATTTCATTACGAGTTTTTATCATTATAAATTTATTTGTGTAAATAAATGCTTACTCACCGAAAAGGCAGCAAACGAAAACGACAGTGTAGAGTAAAATAAAAATCACTTTAACGTCGGTCCTATCGAAGATGTAATCTTCTGACATAGAATCATTGTAAAACAGATGATAGTTACTTTGATTGTAGATGAAAGTTTCATTTATATTATTATCCAATTCGTAAATGTTCATTTCCGGATCGTTGTTTATTCTGAAAAAATAATGAAAAACAAGAGATTATATTTTCCAAATGTTCCAAAATTAGATTTAATTTTTCGTTATCACAAAAGTACATTTAAAAGATATTCAAATGTTTAATCGACCAACGAAAAATGGTCGAATATTTTTGTTTATATTAAATTTATACAATATCAAATATTATTTATTATCTGTCTATCTTTTCCTCTTCTTTTTTTTTAGATTCATTTATATAATTGAATAGAAAACAACGAAACGTTTTTCGAATTCTTATCTTTATTATTATTATTATTTTTAACGAATGTAATTGGATATTTCAGAAAACTGTTTGCTACACAAGTGATTTGTTTGTAATGATGATAGAAAATTTGTTGGGACGTTATTACATAAAATAGGTGATAATTGAAGCTTATTATGAAATAAATATAACGGAACGATTTACATCGATAATAAATCGTAACACGAATTTCGTTAAAAATATAAATAAGAAAATTAATAAAATGATGTAGAATAAAAAAGTAAAATAAATATCATCGTTTAAAAGAGATAGAGAAAAGAAATTAGGTATGTTGAAGAGGAAAATAATGGTTAGAAAGTCAGAATACTAACAAATGAAATGTCTACTACGATAAAGTATACTAAATTACTGACATTTTATATTAAATGCATGTTCACGGATTTTCTATCTTTTGTTTAATCATTTCTGATTTATCGTCCAGTTTCTAGTATTCAATGTACTGTGGAAAATTAATAACGTGAGACGAACACATTTTTTAAATCTCTCTCTCTCTTTTTTTTGTATGTACTTTGTTTGAATGCATAAAAAGAAAATATTTAAATAATTAAATGCCGGCTACACATTTGTTTCTTAAATGTCAGTATTTTATTACATATAATATATAAAAATACAATATAAAAATTGTTATTTTATTTATTGTTAAATTAGTAATAATTTGTTTTCTTCAAATTTCTTTATTAGCTAATTTTAAATAGTATATTTTTCATTAATTTATAGTATCTCATATAGTTTTTAATGAATGATAAATTATTTAATTTTATTTATTATTTCTATTCATATATAAGGATTCACAAAGATCGTAACATTTTATTTGAAATACTTCCCTTTTGACAAATTCGTTTTAGCAATAGAAAAAAAGGGCCAGGAATAAATAAAAAAGAAAAGGATAAATAAGATTATCTCGAAAAAGTTATCTCGAAAAAGTTGAAATTTTTCTTTTAAATCGGCCATTTGCAATTCTTTGAGTTTTAACTAAAAAAGTAGACGGTACGAAGTATATATTCTTCTTTGGTAAAAATTCACGTAGCTATTGTTGTACTTAAGTTCAGGTATTTAATTTGCTTTCTTTACGATAGAAACTTTTCAAGGACTACCTTCGTCCTATCGTTATCTTATCTTTTCCTATAGTTATTCAAATAAATATTTTTATATATTTTTCATTTTTATTTATAATATTTTTATATTTTATATATTTTTAAAATTTCAAAAACAAAAGTACTTTTCTTTTATTTAGGCTAGAAATGTTCTGTTTTTCTTAATGTGAATAATTATTCATTCAACTATTTAAATTTCCAAATAAAAAAGAACAAACATAGAGATAGAAAGACAATAAATATGATTATTAATTACGTATAGAACAACCATTAATTGGATCGTGTTAGCATATTATGGATTTTTCTACAAATTGTAGAGAGAAAAACTTTTAAAATTTAATGGTAAATAGGGAAATCTAATTGAATTTGTCGATGTGAGAATTATGGGGTTAAAACGTGAAAAAGCATAGATTATAATCAGAGTAAATTCTTTCCATAAGAAAAAAAAGAAGAGAGAGAGAGAAGTAGATTAAACATCATCCAATTGAAAAGAAATCAATTTCCTTCCATCGCGAATAAACTAATAAAATTATAGTCGCAATTCGTCTCGACGATCACTTTTATCTATCTTTTAAGATTGAATGAAATATTTCAATTCTATTCGTGTCTTTTCTTTTCTTATTTTATTTTATTTTATTTTATTTTGTTTTATTTTAATTTATTATCTTATTGTTTTTATTATAAATAACCCTTTTTCTTTCTAAATAAAAATTGTATCGAGTGTTCGCGTTGGTAATTTAAAAAGGTCGATTCTAATTATATATCGATAACGTTAAAAACTTATAACGAGATAATGGATCTAGTGTGTTATACACTTTCTTATCAATTATTATCAAACTAGACATTTGCGATGTCGCGTAATAACTATACATTTATTACATATATTATATAATAAAAAATTGTTATATATAAAACCAAAAAAAAGATCATACATTTTTATTTTTATTTAATATAATATAATTGATAATATCAGATAATATTATTATCGAAACCATAAATCACATTGCAATTCCAATGTATGAGATTGTTTAAAGAAAAGTGTGGGTGTTAACGTTTCCATTTTTTACTGGAAATAGAAAAAAAAAAAAAACAAAAAGAAGAAAAAATAAATTGATAAATCAACAAGAAACGTGGATATCGTTTATCCTGGGGAAAAAGAAATGAAAATTTCAAGGAGGTTCGCGTCGAGGGAAATGTAAACGAATGAGTGACGAACGGATAGGTCAAGTTCGTAGATTCTTACCGTGACTAGAATTCTATCTGATTCTATCCCCGGTTGTAACTACGAAGCTTTTTACAGTATATAAACGATGTTTACTTTTGTTCCTTTTTTCTTCTTTTTTCTTTTTCTGATTATTACTATTTTACTATTTTTATGATTATTTTTTTCCATACAAGCAGCCTCAACAAATCTTATCGCAGTAGACAGGTTTTTGTGCGTAAGCCAAGAAATCGGAATGTTTAGCAAAAGTTTTAATTAAACTTTCTGAACCAAGCAACTATAAGTTATTTATATTTGTGTTGGAAGTTCATTCTTACATTTCCAACATCATCGTTACCTTCTTAAAGTAAATTGTCTTAATTCTATTTATTATTAACTTTTATCATATAAATCTAGCAATTTTATTATATTTTTTATTGAATTTTTTAAAGATTAATCTACTCCAACTATATATATAAATAATATTTTATATTATATATCATTATTATATAAATATTATATAATAGTAATAATAATATTTAATATAAATTTAATAAAAACATTAAAAATAGACAATATATGATAGGAACTTAATTATCATATAAAATATTAAACTTATATTCAATATAATTTTGTATTAATTTAATATTGAATTACTAATCCAAATGGATTAATTTTTAGTTATAAAGTTTAAATAATAATCTAACAATTTTTGTATGTATAACGTGATTAAATGAAAAAAAGAGTAAAAAAATTGTTACCTTATAATCGTGTCCTCGCCAATTAACAGCATTTCTTCCGTGATAGCCATCATAGTTTCCTTTTACCTCCTCTTTTCCAAACAAATTCACAATCTACCTTATTTTAAAAATCCACTTTTATTCATAAATAACAAACAAAATATTGAAGAATAAATCTTCGATCGTTGTTTCTTCGTACGTAATTATTTTTATATGTAAATATAATATAAATAAATAAATATATCTCCCCCCTTATAGATTTCGATGATTAAAAACATATTTTCATTTCTACGAATCGAATCATCTTATTGATATCATCTTCTCCTCTCGGTCTTGTTATACTAACAAATTTACTACTACTACTATTATAAATACTATTTATTAATATTACTATTATTATTATTATTATTATTACTCGTCGTAGTGTCCTTAGCGTGACAATTAATGTTTGCTTTTCTTTTTCTCTACTTTATTTCTTTATTTCTTTTTATTTTCTTTAACAATCCCGATATGAACCAAGCCGATAACAGACACGTCCCAGCATCTCCCTGTACATTTCGATAATAAAGTAAATCAAATGATTAATACGACTATCTCCTCCCACCTCTCCTCCTTTTTTCTCCCAAGTGAGCCATCAATTATTTTGTTCGAATTGATGCGAACCGATATCGCGTTATCACTAATTTCTCCTTGCTAAAGTCATTATAATTACGTCAGCTATTATTTCTATTATTTTTAACTAATGCTTTCGAATCAAATTTAACCCATTTATTAATCTCATTCGATGTTTATAATTTAACATGTATCATTCACATCGTTCATTATAAATTATGCTTATATATTATTTATTTAATTAATTATTAATATTTACACTAATTTATATCAGTATTATATAACAATTTACCAAATGTCTACCGACAAATTGTAAAGATGTATGGAGTTAATAAAAAAAAACAAAAAAAATATCAGTATTAATACTTTAAGATATAAAATTTTTAACATTTTTCAAATTTCGTAATTTAACACGTACATACACATAATTTTTACATTCATTTATATATCATAAAAATATTATATATGCACTACATTATTTATTTAATTAATTACCATTATTCATGCTAATTTTAAAACATTTATACGTTAGTTTCGTGCTTTGTTTTTTTTTTAAATTAATTACGATGCATCAAAAGTTACTTTTTATTTTAACTTTCTTTACAAACTTGCTGATATTGAATGAATTTTGATTGATTATTCAATTTATTCGCTTTATTTATTATTGTCCGTCTATTCAGATTTTGATTTAATTTTTGTTATTATAATTCAATAATGAAATATACTTTATCGGAAAACTGAAGATTTGTTTATTTTTTCTCGTAGTTGTTTACAATTTGAATTGAAAATAATTTATAGTTAATATAAATTTAGTTGAAATAAAATAAGATAATAATGTTAACGTTATCGTCGGCGTTACGCGCGGAACTGATCGCAAAGGATTCTCGTTTACCCTCTACTACCACCTTCAACGAATATCACCTTACGTATCCCCTACCATTTATAAAGAGGCGCAAGCGTATTGGTAGCTTTTATATCGGTGCGATTCAACACTAAATGACACGTTCAAGCTCAAAGATCGACGAGGAATAAGAAAAACACAGAAGAAATAGAAGAAAAATAAAAGATTCGATAAAATCAAATAACAATCGCTTATTTTATATTTTTCCTTAATATTTCATTTCTATTTCAAAATCAAAGAGAAAAAGAGAGAGAGAGAGAGAGAGAGAGAGAGAGAGAGAGAGAGAATCTTAAATTTCTGTTGTTTAATTTATACGCTATCGAATAGAATAATTAGAGTGAATTTGTGTATAATAAAAGTGGGACCTGCCGGGATTGTGAGCTTTTCCTATGCATTGCTCATAATGCCAGGCGTTTTTAGGTAACATAGGAATTGTTGCAGATATTTTTCCTAGGCATTGTACATAATACTTTTGGTATCCTATAGAATATAGAGAATTTATTCGTTCCGGAACGATATTGTATTACTATTAAAGAGGAGGGAGAAAACCAGTGGAGAGAGATGGATAAAGTGTGTGAGAGAGAAAAAGATAAAGACAGACAGAAAACATTCTACCGACGATTACATCTATACGTCCTCTTCAGTTGTGTTTCATCCTCGTGACACGAAAGTCGTTTCAAGATATCGTTTCGTATTCGCATCTCGTTAACACATACATTATAATATTTATTTCATTCAATCATGAACGATCAACACGAAGCAAACAATTCTACTTATTATTATTATTGATTAACACTAATCGTACCGAAAGCTTAATAATCTCGTCACGTATATGCTTACGATAAACGAGTTTATTTCTTTTTTTTAATCCTCTTAAAAGTTCTTAAGGAAAAGATAAAAAAACGAAAAATTTCTTATATAAGTTTGAACGATACGATAGAACGATACATAAGTGAATTGTACTTGTCAGTGCGACAGGTGCGCTTTCGAGATAACATATCGTTCAAGGTAAATTCCTAAATTTGGATTTTAATTATTATTATTATTGTTATTATTTGTATTTTGTTTTTGTTTCGCGGTTTTTCTTATCGATGCTTTTTCCATTTTGTTTATTTATTTGTTGTTCTTTTATTGCAATTGAAGATAAAGTGAAATAATGTTCAACCGGATACGTGGTACAGTGAGCGAGACAGGTAAGCTGTTTAACTTCTTGTTTTCAAGTTAGAAGACGACTAGGATAGTAAGAAAGGATAAAGAAATGTTAGCTTTTTATCCTAGTAAAGTTTCTTTAGATCGATTAATCCATTTTATTGTTCGAACACACAAATCCTATCCTAACGTGTTCCCTATTATTCGATCTCTTTCTCTCTTGTTCTCTTTCTGTTGGATTCAGGTAATACGTAACATCGTTCGATAAGTATCCGTTCAGCTTTCGAAACTTACGATTTCACGCGATCACGATAGTTTCCTTTAGTTTATTACACGCGATCCTTCATATATACATATATATTATACACATCAGTTTTTGTTCTATACTTTTAATTATTATTTCCGTTTCGATAAATAAATAAAATTGCTTCCCCAAAAGAATTGTGAAAAGAATTTCAGGTATTTATTCTAAACAAAAACTAAATTAAACTCCCTTTTACAGAGAATTAATTTCGCAGTTCTACCGTTAAATGTTTTCTGCACAAAAGTATGCGTATATATATAATATATTTCTGCAGTTATTTTTAATTATCACTTACAAAACAAAAATGAATTATACTTGTCTGAAAGTTGAAAAGAATTCGAATAGTTCGACTTTAATAAAAATCTATGTAAATTAAAATTCAACGTTTCATCGTAAGAAATTTTGTCTGCGTAAAAATATATATAAATATTCGATTATATGAATAAAAATGCAGGAAAAGCGTAAATATGATAAATCGGTATAAAAATATGAAACGAAAATGATGCTTATTGTAAGTTATAATTTTGCTTTGGTTTGCTGCAGCGATCAAATTAACGGATAAAAATGCTTGCAAAAATTACTTGAAACGTAGGCTACCAATTTTCGGCTGGTTACCAAGATATAAAGCGCCATGGTTGTTACAAGATGCGCTAGCTGGTTTTACCGTAGGTCTCACAGCAATCCCTCAAGGGATCGCTTATGGAATAGTAGCTGGACTCAGTCCTGAGGTAATTTATTCGTTATCTTTGTAAATACAGTTAATATAGAATAGTCGTGTTAACTGTATTTCCTATCTATTCAATTATCTTCCATCTAATATGATCGTCTTTAGTATGGCTTATATGCAGCTTTTATGGCATCCTTCGTTTATATTATTTTTGGATCTTGTGAGAACATAACTATTGGGCCAACAGCAATTATGGCAACTATGGTACAACCGCTTGTATTGAGTCATGGTCCGGATATGGCTATATTGTTGACATTTTTAAAAGGATGTATTATTACGTTATCGGGTTTACTTCATTTAGGTAAGTTAGAGAGTTCACACTTGTCTTCTTTTTCCTTGTATGGAAATTCATTCCACCTTAGACCAACCTTACCTTGTTTTTTTTTTGTTTTTTAATGAAAACGTTATAGATATATAATATCCTTTCTTTTGAACTATAGGTTTTCTTTTGGATTTCATCTCTCTACCTGTCATCACCGGGTTTACCTCGGCTGCAGCTATTAACATTGCCTCGTCGCAATTTAAATCCTTGCTTGGTATACCGGGAAGGGCCGAAAGCTTTTTAGATTCCATTATACAAGTTTTTTCGAATTTAAATGCGATCAGGTATCAGGATACAGTCTTGGGTGTATCCACGATCATCGTCCTGGTTATTTTCAAGGTAAGAATTCTTTTTCTTCTTCTTTTGAATTTTTTTTACTCTCCTTTACTTTACTTTTGAAGATATATTATTACGTTGTACGACCTAAGGGGTTTGATGTTTCTTTATATAATATCGCATTGCAAAATGAAAAAAAGAGAAAAAAACATTTTTAATTATGTAGAATATTTAAGATTATTAATTTCATTAAAATAGAACATCCTGCATAAATTTATTATATACATCGTCCTCATTAAGAAACACAATTTCTTTCAATAAGATATTTTTCTTTTGTTTTCTTTATCTATGATAACATCTCGAAAATTGATTTGATAATACCACTTATCGCAATAATACTATTATTTTTGTCAAGTGTTAATTAATCGATAAATTAATGTACTCGAAAATAAAAGATTATCATTATTATTACTTCTTATATATTTCTATATATACACTTTTATCCTATTATATATATATATATATAATATTTTATTTATAGAATTTACCTGGACGACGAAATGGTACTTGGGTGCAAAAATTTTTATGGGGTTTAACGTTAGCTAGAAATGCTATAGTCGTTGTCGCAGGAACCATTATAGCTTACATTTTTTATTATAACGGAGAAGAAATATTTAAACTCACAGGTAAAAAAAAAAAAAATATACAATAAAAATAAATAAATAATAAGAAAGAGATCAACAATTTTCGAGATCGCATCATTTCCATGAATCTTGTTACTTTCTAAACTCTTCCTTTTTAACAATACTAATAATTTATTTTTACGATGATACTTAGGATCAATGGGACAAGGTTTACCACCGTTCCAACCACCGCCCTTTTCAACGACTTACCAAAATAAAACTTATGATTTCATAGAAATGACGACGATTATGGGATCAACAATCATTTCCATTCCTATTGTCTCTACTATTGAACATATGGCAATTGCCAAAGCTTTTGGTAAGTTTCTTTTTTTATAAATAAATCTTAAAAATAAAAATTAGATATTAAAAAAAATTAAAAAAGAAAAAATTTCCTTTTACAATGAATTATTAGACAAATAAAAAATAAAAGAAATATTTAAAAATATATAAAATACATATAAATGTCATGCCTGGTTTTGTTCCTGATGGTCCGACATCAGTTTGTCTGTCCAGCTATTTTTTATGTGTGTTAGTTGTAATATATTCGGGTGATCAGGCAGGAGTCATATTCTTATCCTTCTTCTTCTTTATAAATTTCCGAAAAAGTATAATATCTTGAAACAATATTGTTTTATTTAAAGTTTTAAACGTTTTATCAGATGATTAGAGATTTAAAAGTATGTTGGTATTCAAACTAGACAAATTAGATGAAAAACTTAGACTTTTCTTCTTCTTCTTCTTCTTCTTCTTCTTATTATTATTATTATTATTATTATTAGCAAAGGGAAGGTCTTTGGATGCAACTCAAGAGATGTTCGCTCTCGGGATCTGCAATATTTTAGGATCTTTCGTATCATCGATGCCAGTTACAGGTTCATTCACAAGAACGGCTGTTAATCATGCATCAGGTGTAAGAACACCTATTGGTGGTATATTCACAGGTAATTTATGATAAATATGATTAATGTAATAAAAAATACCTACGATTTCGTTATTAGATATTTCGAGATTAAATTGATCAATCGATAAATGAAAACGAGTGGGTATAAAGCGTGAAATGAAATTCGAAAACAAAGATAATTGTAAATATGTGGTTTAGATTTGTTGTTTTTTATCAATAAGATTTTATGATTATAAGAAAGATAATTTCGATAGAAAGATCAGCGTGAAATAGAAAAATAGAAAAAAAAAAAAAACATTATTTTTTCACTTCTCTTTTTCTTTTACAGGTTGTCTCGTCCTTCTTGCAGCAGGATTTTTAACAGGTACCTTCCGTTTTATTCCTAAAGCTACTTTGGCTGGTGTTATCCTATGTGCCATGTATTATATGCTAGATTTTGATACTTATTTATTACTATGGCGTGCGAGAAGTAAGTATTATTTTATTATTTTTATTAATTAATCGTAAATTTATCCACCCGTTATCCTATTTTTAATAATATAATAAAAAAAAAGTGGGCAAACTTTTTAGAGATCGATTTTTTCGTAATGGTGTTAACGCTCCTACCATGTATCTTCCTCGGCCTTGAATTAGGAATAGCCATTGGTATAGTCTTAAATCTGATGACGTTATTATACTTTTCGGCAAGGCCATCCGTTGAAACTAAGCTCGAACAGGTTTGCTATAATAGAAGAGAAATATTTCATTAATATTTCTTTTTCATTTGTTGTACATTTATTTCAATCATGATTTGTTAGAATGATCATCATCAAGTTATGATACACATCATTCCTGAAGAAGCTCTTGCATTCCCAGCAGCCGAACATTTGCGTTCTAATGTAATGAAATTTACAGAAGATAGTTGTTGCAACGTTGTACTGGATTTTAAGAATCTTAAAAGAATTGATGTTACTGTTGCTAAGGTAAAATAATTATTTATATAAATATGAAAAGGTGATTAGGAAAGTGGCCTATTTTTTAAAATTTTAAAATTAAATGAAAAAAATGACTTTTCTTTTTTTAGAATATAAAATTACTTGCAAACGATCTCTCGTTGCGAGGACAAGAAATAATCTACGTTAATTGTTGCAAGAATGTCGAGGATATCTTGAAAACAGTTGCACCAGAATTAAAAACTGAGTTTCGCGAAGTTGCCATTGCGAATATTTGATAAGAGTGGAAAATAGACGAAGAGAAAAGAAGATAAGATATAATATGAAGTATATATAGAAGATACATCGACCGAGTTTACAATCATTGTGAGAAGGACAGATACAAAGTAAAATGATACCGAATTTGTCTTCTCAAATATTGTTTCTCTCAAAACAACAAAATTCGACGTTATCTTTTTCTAATCTTTCTTTTTTCTTTATCAAAATGTCCATCAGATTTAAAAAAGGAACATAATACTTTTAGAAATTCATTATGTGAATGATTTTTTTTTACGTGCAACCAGCTGATTATATCAGCTTACATTATTCATAAATTAATAGCAGATTACATTGTAACTTATATAATATTATAAGTGTACTTTTTTGTAAATAAAATTAAAATACAAAAAGTAAGGCGATAAAACAAATTATCTGTTACGATGACCACATTCATACTCGAGAATAGAGTCAGAATACAAATAGCAGAGTAAAACAAATGATATATTTTGCTAACCATAAGTATCTACTATATTATTTATACTAAATCTTCAGTCCAAGAGCATCCATTCATTTATTCACATTCACAGGTCTACTCTTTGTCTGATTCCTCTCTGCAAATCTGTTTGATACGATTACATTCATTCGGCATAGCCTTGCAGGTCCTTAACCCCTTAACTTGTGCTAATTTTTTTTGACCGGTTTTTTCAAAAAATCTCTGCGTAAAGTGGTTAAAGCAGCATTCAAGGTCTTCCATTACATCAGGGTGGTAGACCACGGAGAGAATTGTAAAAAGCGATTAAGTGCAACTATGATTTATCTATACCTGAAAACGACTTGATCCTCTTTTTTCTTTTCGTCCATTTGATGGTTACAATCCTTACCGACTAATTCAAAAAATCAGCACAAAAAAGTTGGCATAGAACCTCAACAGCAGAAAAAAATGAATAAGTACTCTTAATTGCTCACTAATTGCATTCTTTTTTAATTAATTATTTAATTAGTTATTAATAATTGAAAATACAAAAACGTTTTTTCTCATTTCTAAAGAAAGCAATGGAGTTTTCTATTGTTTTTTGTTTTCAATCAATTGCTGACTTTTTGTTTGTCCAGCTCCTCAATTTTATTTTATCAAATATATTTTATTTATCGTTAATTAGTTGAGAATAATTATTACACTTTGAATAATTATGAAATGGCGACGTCATGAGTGGGAGATATGTTATATGCATGTGCAATCACAAATTCAAGGTGCAAGCGCACTTTGAAAAAAATGAAAGTAAAGCTGGTATACCCCTGCAGACTGCTGATTCTGTGAATAATCATAACTGCCAGGTTAACATTTTTTTCAAATTTCTTAAGAAACTTATTTTTATTCATATTTTATATTCGTAAATTACAGATAACTATTATATATTTGTAATATCTTTTCTTTTCTTTAAATGATCATCACATTTATATAAGATTTCTTCTGTCTAGAAAAAGATTAATCTTAATTGTCTTAAAAGTTGATTCATTAAAACGAGAATAGACAATGACGCTAAATTCGAAAATTTTATTTTCATCGAACCGAAAGAGAATATCTCAAAATTTATTTTTGATATAGTTTCCCTATATTATTTTTATTTGCTTAAATTAATATGATGTCATTCACGTATGCGCGTGTATTCGTAATAAATATATAAATATATATATATTTATTTATTAATTTCTTTTTTGATAATACGCACATTAATGATAACTATTTAATAAATTAAAGAAATAAAAAGATAAGAACAAATATCTAAAAAAAAGAACAAAGAAAAAGTATTGTTTACTATTCTTTGTTTTTTTGTTGTTGTCGATTCATCGGAAGAATTAATTGTGCAACAACGATATTTACACTTGTGTCTGTGAAGAGTTGCAATTACTTATTCCAAGTATAAATAGTAATTTAACGAAGCAGATTAAAAATATTCAATTACCACGCTTATTTAAATAGTAGCACAGAGAGTGACGAGAAATTTATAAATATAAATTTTATCGTTTTCTCTATCTCTCTCTCTCTCTCTCTTTTTTGAACGATAAGAAAGATTAACTATAATGTATATGTATATATATATATTCGTCATGAACTACATAAAAAAAAAACCGCGATATTATTTATATTATTTTCATATGACTAGAGAAAATTGTGGATATTGAAAAAAAGATTAAAAATACAAAAAAATATTAAATGTCTCTACATCATATAGTTTACGGTGCACCATTACGACGATCATCACGATTGGGACGATTAATCATAGTGCGAAGTAATCGATGAACAAACGATCCCAAGATAAAAATATATTCACACGTATATACAAGGGTGTTTCGTAATGTGTGGGACCAAATTCAGGAATGAACAGCGGACACAAAAAAGTTCATATAAACGTGTGTCATATTTGACTTTGTTTATATGATCCACTCCTGAAATGGGTCCCACATATTATTTAACACCCTGTATATAAATATGTATGCATGTCCTTTGTTTACATGTATATATGTATATGTGCATCCTTTAATACATTCGTCGCCCAATTTTATTCAGCTATGTATTACAACCAAATATAAGTGATGGGGCGATGAACGTGTTAAATTAACTGTGTTGACTCTCATAGAAGTAATTTCTATCTATTATTTATATCATCATCATCATTATCATCATCATCATCATCATCATTATGAATTATTTCATAATTCAATGTTAGTTAGCCTATCATATTTTAAGGAGCAATCTCGTATTTTGCGAATAATTTTCTCTGTCTAATGCTAATTACATATTTAAACTCGTTAGAGACACACGACAAACGAACGTTAATGACGAGTTATTTTTGATAAATTGAAATCTAAAAAGCACACACAAAAAATAGGCCCCCTTTGCCACGAGCATAGGCATATAATGTTCTTTTATATCGTTGAATTCTTCAGCGAAAATCCTTTATGTGTTACATAATAATAGTAATATCAATATTCGATTACATAAATCTATTCTATATAAAAACAAAAACAAAAAAATTATATGAATTGTAATATAGTTATAAAATTTAAATTGTAAGGATAAATTAGAAAAAAAAAGGAGAAAAAAGAGAGCCAAGCTATTATCAAAGCTATTAATTTTCGGGCGACTTACTATGCATCTAAAGTATATTTTTCTATCATTAGAAACTTCAGCTTTATAAAGTCTTTCTTAGAGAATTAAAAAGGACAAAACAAATGAAAGAAAAAAATTCATAATTCATCTAAGCCAGTAATAGCATGGTGAATTAGTTAAAAGTTTTCATTTGAATGACCTCGACACAACCATTACGCTAGGATTCTTTATTTTTTCTAATAGAAGAATCCTGATGTAAAAGTAAAGGAGCTCTTTCTTGTCTGACTTCAGAAAGCGTTTCTAATTCTTGAACTGGACTTCGCGGCCAAACATTTCTTGTAACTCTTTCTTGATGATTCCCTCGATCATATACCTAGAATTTAGTTTTACATTTACATATTAAATAAATAAGATCATTTTTATAAGAAAATAAAAAAAAAAAAAATCCACACAGCCTTTAAATATTTTATAATACTTGAAATAATATTATTTACTTGTTTGTGATGAAGCTCATGCAGGTACAATGTAGATAAAGACATATCAGCTGCAATTAAGTCTGTCGGTACCGACTTATTTATAACTACTTCGTTTCCAGATCCAAAAATGGATGCACCAAGTGAATTGTTTGATATACTCTGTTGCAGTCCATACATGAATCTTTTATCACTGTGCAATGGACCTTCAGCTCTTGTGACTCCATAATATTGGTAACGCGATATACTTTGACTGGTAGATGCTAAGTTAATTGGGACCGAAACATCTAAATTACCATCAGACTGGTAGTTAAGTGCGCTGCTCATATTTGGAATACTTTGTTGGTTTGTCATACTTCGAAATAGATTTGATACTATTCCGTCGTACTGAAAAATAATTATAAGTAATTTATTATACAAGCAAATAGATAAATCGATAATTGTTATCATTATGAAGAATATATGTATACTTACTTGAGGTCCTAAATCAGATACATTAGTTAAACTTGCAATCAATGGGTTTTCGATGGTTGGTACACTATTAATATCCCTCTTAGCTCTCTCTCTTAATGCCGTAACAAAGTTTTCTGCGTGACTCGGCGGCTTCCATTCTGGATTGGTTAGAGTAAAATGTATCAGGGATAATTCCGTTTTACCATCCTCAGCCGGCTCTTTAACGTCCAACTTTCCTACATTAATGTTACACGCTGGATTATCGTATCCTGTATTACGATTATCTATAGGATTCTGATCAACAGTTTGCCAAGCTGGATTTCCATGTTTTCTTATATCCATTTGAGCGAAACTACATACATCACCGACTCCAGTTACTTCGATAGTAAAATTACGAAAAAAGTCTACAATTTCTAAAGCTCTGCGTCTTATGCGGAAGCACAAAATAAATGGTGTTACTAAAGGAGATATCAATTCTTCCAGTAAATGCACAATGGTATGTTGGAAGAGTACAGCTACCTGTGCTCTTGTTTTTTGTGTATGTGCAGTATCTCGCCAACTGTCAGGGCTATAATGTATATGCGCCAAAACACCGTTCAACAATGCATCTGGACACCATACTAAATTTTCACTGGGTATGAGTCTTCTTGCACCGATTACAACAAAACTCAAAAACGTTGCTATTGTTATCATGTGGTCAACATGTACGATAGTATTCCATATTAGTCCATATAACAAAGTAACGAAACACAGACAGCCAAATGTTGTTGCAAAAAATTTGGCCACGACCGTAGTTGTTGGGGAGGTAAATAAATTCATATATTTTTGAGCAGGATGATAAGCACGATTTAATCGAACATTTAATTCGTGATCGAGTTCATTGAAATGACGAAGATACAATCGACCATACGGAGACCACATTCTTAATCCCAAAGTACTTGGTTCGTTCTTTACTAGCTGCATTTAGAAATAATATTTGTTTTTTAATTAAATATTATATTAACAAGAGGAACTTAGTGAGAAGAATCTTATTCTTTTTAATATTTATAGTATATTATTTGATGACTTACCTCGCCATAGCTAAAAATTAAATGAAGGATTTGCCATAAAAGAATTAATGGGCATAGTAGGAAATTAGCTATTCCTATCCATAGAATTTGTTTCGATAATGCTCGCGCCAGTTCCTGCCTCTTATTTAATTTTTTATATTCTTCCTTTAAGTGCCAATTATTTTCAAAAGGCGACCATGGTCCCCCTACGGTGAAATGAACAGACAAAAACAACTGAAATTAATTGATTATAATTTTATACATATTTATGAATACTTACAGAATAAGAGTAATCCAATATTATATTTCAATCCTTTAGTCAAAAAAGTAATTTTACCAAATATAGGGATTTTAAATTTGAGAGGTAACAAGGATTTGTTGATCATAGCCACCTCATAATTTTTAAATCTTAATATCCTATGATATATGTCTAATTCCGTTAGCTCTCTTTTATGGATGCACATTTCCTGTTCCTTTTGAACTTCTATTACTCTACTTTGAACTTCGTGCCATGTAAAATTATCTAAATCCGCGTCATCAATTTTTAATGCTTCATTAAAGAATAATTTAATATCCCAGAACTTAATGAGATGATAGAGAACTTTAACGATGCTTAAAGTCAAATAAATAGCTGCAAATAAAATGCAGAACCATGTGGCCCATCCTATGGAAGCTAAACATTCCTCGGATGAAAATAGGACATCGGGGATTGTTAATTTGTGCTGGATGTCTTCGTATCTATATAAAGAATAGATAAAATATTTCAACGATAGAATATAAATAAATGAAATATCATTGACATACCATATTTCACCATAATCATATTTGTTTATATTCTATCTAAGAACAGAAGATAAAACTTACCCAAGTAATACAGGATAATTGACACAATGTAAGAGGAACGTGAAGACAGTGACTATGAAAATGATTTCTAGTAATTCAAAAAATTCTTCGAGCATCATACATTTGAAGCCATGCTTTTGATGATAATGATACATTCTCATAAAGAATGAATCCAAATCTTCTATATGATTCCATCTGGCCTTGTTTCCTTCCGGTACTACATGTATCATAACACCTGATTCTTGAGGCGTTTCTTCTTGTTCATTATCATTGTCGCCATCACCCTCACCCTCGTCATAAGACTCGAGCTGTTGATAGCTGCCATCCAATATAGTTGTCATCTGTAAATGTTAATAAGTTTAAGAAACCGATACACTATGGTAAATTATAGAAAAATGAAAATGACATAGATTGTGGACAATTAAGATTAGCGTGCCACAATTTACAAAAATGTATGTATAAAAATAACACTAAAATGCTAAATAAGTTATGAATTTCTCAAGAAGGACACATATCTAAAGATGATACCTTTGTTGTTTGCTAAAATTTGTAACAATGACGTTGCATATTTCACGTATGAATATAATAACAACACAAATATTCATACTGATACTTGTAACAAATAATAATGATACAATGTACATGCAAACATTTATAATATGACATACGATTGAACCTTAGAGATGGAGCATTACCGTTTTAGCTCTTCGGTTTGGCTCCACACAGGTAATGACGGTATCTCGTTTCATTCTTTCATGTCATTAAGTTTATTTAACTACTGGTGGAAAGTTGCTCCCAAATCTGCATCTAAAATGCAGATTATGCGCCAGATACGTTAAGAGGGGAAGAGAAATAATAGCCGTTGTGGATCGCTAGATATTTTATGTTTAAATTTGATATTGCGTATATTTAAATAAATTTGTAATAAGACATCATTGTAATGATGATAGTTATTAAATAATTCTAAAACTTTCGACGTTGTTTGTAATCGTTAAGAATATAGACAAGAATAAAATTTGCTAAACCTGATGACTACTAATGTTTTCTAATAAGAAAAAATAAAAATGAAAGAAAGAGAAAGAAAAGAAATCGTTTTAGTGAAAGAAGGAGAAAAGGAATGAAATATATGAGAGTAACAAAAGAAGGAATTTGAAATGCACCGAGTTGATGAACTAACCACACGAGTCAAACCACTTTTAATTCTACCTAATGCTAATGCTATCGTATTAACAACACAGTCACCTTTATAAACACGATAGACTCTATCGCTCTCTCGACCAATAGCTTATCCATGCTCTTACTTTCTGATTAGCGAAGAAGACAATATCGGTCCTTCTTCCTTCTCTCATCATGTGTTTTATTTTCTTAACGCAAATTGTACAAACAGGTAGAGTAGGTTACTCTGTCTTGTCAATGTCTGTAATCGAAAACGTGAATGACTAAAAAAAACAAAGCAGCAAGAAGAAAAAGGATAATACTCTTGAAGAGTATAGCTATCGAAGAAAGCCTCTTTGTTGTAATTTCCATCCTATTGAAGCGATACAAATGGTGGAAGAACAAAGAAAATCAAAACGCATTATCACAGAAAACGACGATGTCGAAATTCAGAGAGAGGGGAATACATTTTTTTGCCGATGTGTGTTTTAGTTTATTGAAAATTTGTCAATTAAATTAGAAAAAAATAAAAAAGAAAAATAAAGTGATCATAATATTTATCGTAGGATTTATAATCGAAATGAATATAATATACGCTAGTCTGTATTACGCATCCGATTTGCTTATCGGATTCTTCACTTATGTCTTAACATTAACGTGTGACCTTTATTTCGATACGAAAATAGATCTGTGCGTTTAAAAAAACGCAGTACGGATAACTCAACGCGTATGTTTGCTAACACAGCTGATCTTCATAAACAAAGCGTGGAAATATCCCGCGATTATTCATACCTTGTTTGACTGCTTTTCCAAATTCTTTTCCTTGAGATTACTTGCAAGTCTTTTATTTACATCGAACTGAATCCTCGTGAATCGACATTTACATGTTGATTAACTTTACACGTCTTATTCACAGCTAATTTAGACATTTGACCGTTAAGAATGCTTAGCTCCGTCCTTCAAAGCCACCATCTTTACTGATACTTTCTTTTATTTCTCTTGTTCACTCTGCGCCGATTATCGCGCATGTAGCGGTTAAAAAACGAACTATTTTATCATCGTTGCTCGATCAATCAAAACGCTAATAGTTGATACAAAAGATTTCCTTTATATCATTAATTTATGAATATGAATATGTATAAAAATACATGCATCCATATATATTTTTATATTTTTTTCCAAGTGCGCTTGCACCTTGAATTTGTGGTTGCGCATGTGTATAACATATCTCTCACTCATGATGCCGCCATTTCATAATTATTCAAAGTATAATAATTATTTTCAACTAATTAACGCGAAATAAAAAATATTTCATATAATAAAGTTGAACAAATAGTGTGCAATTAAGAGCACTTTTGAATTTTTCATATTAATATGAAAGTTCATTAATATCAAAGTTCGTAGACTTTTGCATTGATTTATTCTTTCCGTAGATACGTACATTGACGAAATACTTCGAAGATACGTTATGAAATCGTTGACGAATTACTCCGTAGATTCACACATGGACGAACTTTTGTAGTAGTCACGTTTGAATTATATTTATTATTTTTTAATAATATTATATATTCTATATATTTATGATTACAAAAAATAAAATAATTTTTTTTTATAATTAAATGAATTAATAATAAATTTATTTTTCAATTGATTTTACTACCGTCGTTTAAATTAATTGTTTCATACGCGACGATGGATAATTCGATTGTTTATTATTTAAGTAATTAATTAATAATTAATAATCTATTCATATATACGTAAATATATATGATTAACATAGATGTTAAACGAAAATTGAGTCGAGTTGTTGCAATCGATAATAATTAATTTCAATTGTAATTATTAATATTTAATCGAATTTAAATATAATCCAATACTAATTCGAATATTATGGTAATTTTAAATTTTGGAGAAAGTTCATTTTTAATCCATCATCTTCTATAAATTATATTTATATATCCATATGTTACTTCCAAAAATATTACCTTAAAGAGACATTTTTGTAATTTTTTTTTGTTTAAATTCTATACGAACACATACGAGTTAGATTATTATAACGCGAATATGAAAGCAAAATAATAGTTCACTTTCAAACTAAATAATGATTAAGTTTACATAGATTTAATAGCAATATTTACAGAGTATCTCTTGGAACATGGCTTACAGAAGTATCGTATTGCTCGAGAGGGGTGGAATGGGGTTGTTGGTTTGGGGTGATTGTGGATAGATGTAGGTTTTATTTTTTTTTCATTGACCTATGTGTTCTTGGTTATCATTTATCACGCGAATTAGGCATGATCATACGAGCATTGATTATTCGAATACAATACGTAAAAAATACGCGTCTTAATGGAATAGTAAAGAGCTCACGTTCGTCGTTTAAATCTTACGAATGTATACATGCGTGTGTGTATGTGTGTGTATATATGTATGTTCGTACATAATGATGCGACACGTTTTTTTTAGAGTCGTTACGATGAAGTCATTTCTAAGGACAAAAAGAAGCCAAAAAAATTGTAGGTGATTGATTAAAGAAAAAAATATAAAGGAAATTGTTAATGTTTTTATGCTGTAAAAAATTTTGTGTATGCTGCTTTGCTGTATTTCATGCCATTCGATCTAATCTAAAACTTTTATATTCGAATAGCATGATATTTTGAACCTTGTGTATGCGTATGTGGGCACGCTCGCACGTGTGTACATGATAGGGAATGGATAAATAGTTTTACAAAAAGGTGCATGCACACACAGATTCGCCCGCTTGTACGCAGATATACACACGATCGAATGAAGATTCTTCTATTGAGCTGAACAAAAAGGTGCAGTGAATAGTTAAGAAGAAAAGGTTACTGGATGTTCTATTCTTACCTTTTTACCTTTTCGAAACGAGCGCAAAGATGATTTGAGATATAGTATTAAACGCGAATTGCATGAATGCAAATTATTAAAACGAGGAATGATTTTCAGCTTAATTTTACATAAAAGTACACATCAAAGGAATAAGCCAGATAAATAAATATTAAAATGGCTTCATCGTCGCACGTGGACAATGTCGATAATATTATTTAATGACTTGCTATACGAAACTTATAGAGCTTTCGTAAATATTCGACAAAAAAATGTATGTAGCTACCATATTGGTGTTTCCGTCCAAGTAGCGATCGATCTAAATTATTTTATTAAATTTTGAAAAATATTAATATTTATATATTTTTTTCCTTTTTCTCCGCCCTCCGCCCTCCCCAAATGCAAGCTCCATGATTATTATCTAATAAATGAATATAATAATAATAATCGTTAAATGGAATCGATTATTTTGTCATTTTTTCGCTACTTGGATCGTCGTCGTCGTTTCGTTAATAGTATCGTCACTGTTATAATCATCGTCATCGACATTGTCTGGATTATTTACTCTCGAGGGACTATTTGACCAGGACGTCTTGGTGCTATCCTTCGTCTCGGTGCTAGCAAACCACCGAACCCTCTTGTTTCTTCGTGCTTTGTGCTGGCAGCTGTGCTGGATTCAGCTGAGGTTGCCAATTCGGTCGCTTGTTCATTATCAGATGACGATACACCAGTCTCTTCTTCGGAAGTTTCTTCTTGACTGGTTTGTGCAATAGCTGCTGGTGCTTCTGTTATTGTTGGTTTTCTACGTGGTAACAATGGCGAACGTCTCGACGCAGCAATCGGTGATGAGGGTGTTTTCGTAGTTGCCTTTGGATGAATCTGAAGTCGATTTCTGTTTCTGAGCTTGTTCAATGGATTCACCGTTGTTGGTTTCGATGCTGGGGGACTCGTCTCGGCAGGCGCCTGTTTGACAATCATATTATTTGATTTTTTATTCTTTTTTTAGAATAAACGATTATAGCAAGTTTATTTATCTCTCCTCTAAGAAATGCTTCACTCTATTTCGTGACTGAGGATGTTTAAGAAGGTCGAAAGATTAAAAGTATTCGAGAGTCTTCTCGTCGATGACATTTCAAAAGGCCATTCAGTGAAAGTGGACTCGAGAAAGAGAAGAGAGAAAGAGAGAACTATGTATCGGATTGATGACATCATCGTCTTACCTTCTTTTACCTAATCTTTATCTTTACCAGTATATCATAATCTTTTAAGTATTAATAAAATACAGACAAGATATAGAGATGTATGAAATTATTGAAAATATTTGAAAATAATATATTATAAATGATTGTTTATAACCTCATGAGTTTCTTCCTCGGTTCCTTCTCCAGCTGGTTCTTCTACTGATCCTTCAGGTACTTCCTCTGGTGCACTAGTTGTAGATGTACCCGGAGTAATAGCTAGGCCAGGTTTTTGTCTTAAATTTAGTCTTCCAGCTGGTGGTCTGGCTACAGGTGATAATCTACCAGGACCTCCAATACTTCCAGGTGCTCCTGGTAATCTCGAACGTACACCAGATTTTAATATAGGCGATGGGGACAACGTACTGACGGTTGCACTTTCAGCTGTTGGACTTTGTCCAATTTCCTCTTGACTGTCTTCTTGACTGTTCGTAGTCGATGGAGCTGCCGTTGGTCTTCCACGTTTGCGATTGATGTTGAGTTTGTTGAAAGAAGGACGCGAAATTCCTGATGGTCCAACTGAAGAAGCACCATTACCATTGCCGTTGCTGCTGCTGCTACTAGTGCCAGTGGCAGGAGGKGACGTCGTTGAGACACTTCGAGAACCAATTGTACCTCGGAATCTTCCTCGAGATGTACCACTAGGTTTTTCAGCTGCAACAGAACCTACCGATTCCTTCTGAACAGCATCCTCCTCAACTGGTTGTTGTTGAGATGTCTTTTGACCAGGTCTTGGTCTCTTAAATCCTCCCCCATTCGAGGATCCTCCGAAACGACCTCGTGTTCTTTGCGTCGGCTCTACTGGCGATGATGCTTCTGTCGTACTCGTTGGATTACCATTATTTGACTTAAATCTAAACATCCAAAATAAACCACCAATGGAAGTTGATCTTAAATAGATTATCAAGATTATTTTACCGACCTATTTCTAGTTCCAACTCCACCACCTGATACTCCAGGTCGACGGAATTTGCCTCGGCCAATTGGGGTTGGTACAGTTGTGGTAGGAGCTTCTGTCGTTGTAGTTGTCGTAGTAGGTTCAGTAGTAGTCGTTGTACTTGGTGTTGTAGTAGTTGTCGTCGTCGTCGTCGTTGTTGTTGTAGTCGTTGTTGTACCGACCGATGTCGTACCAATTGTAGGATCAGTCGTAATTGCTGTTGATCCAGATAAATCAGTCGTTGTGGGTATCGAATCTGTTGATTCATCATCTTCAGAAATAGTCGAAGTCGTGGAATCAGTTGATTCGTTAGTTTCATTTCCAGGCATGTCTATTAAATTGGTTTGCCCTTGTAAAAATGCATAAAGATCTAAAGCTACTTTGTCCATCGCCGAGGGATATTCGGTAGTCATAGCATTTTCCGTAGTAACCGTGCTTGTACTGATGTCTGCCGGGGAAGACGACGATTCTGTTTCTTCTGATGCTTCCTTCTCTTCTGCCGACATTTTTTCTTTGGAAATTTCAAGGGACGGGACACTTTCTTCGTCTGCTTCTTCTTCTTCGCTGGACAATTTCGATGATTGATCTTTGTTCAATTCTAATTCAGCCTGAAAGTATTAATAAAAGTATTCATTTATTCCGATTTATTCACATATTAATTTACTATACCTTCATTTTATTGAATTTTATTCTTATTGTTAATATTTCGTATCATTAATTCTACCTCAGGAATTGTAGTAACTGGACGTCTTCTAGACAGAGGTGTAACAGCTGGTGGACTTTCTGATATATCTTCAGTAACCGCAGCTTCTTGAATCCTATGTCTTCCACGTCCTCTCGTAGTCACCGATTTCTCTTCTGTATCTTCATTAGGTGTTACACCGAGAAATCTTACCGGTCCTTTCGGTAAAACCTGAGGAAATTCTGGCCCTTCCTGATGTGTCCGAAAACTACTGGAATCGACGAGATCTAAACCAGGTCTTGGACGATTTCCACGTGATCTCGTAGCTTCCGTTGTGCCTGTGTTGTGATTCGATCGCGATCTATGAACATAAAATAAATACAAATATTAATAACATATAATAAATATAAATATTCATATCATTAAATCACTTTAATGTAAGTCAACATAAATTATGACAAATTTTCAATCCATCAAACTCATTCATGAACAAATTATTTAATCAATTTGTTAATCAATTTTGTTTTTTTCTAATAGTCAAACTTGGTAGTTTGTACTTTAAATGAATGAAAAACGGTAATTTACCTGGGTGGAAATCTGGTATTGGCTGGAAGTCTTTCTTCGGAGACATCATCCGTATCAACGAGCTGCCTTCCCCGGTTTCCATTTCTATTTGGGATGACTTCGTTGCTAGCCGGTTCAACGGTGCTGCTGCCTCTATCAACTGCGTTGTATTTGTTCCTGTTGCCACTTTGACCACCTCTCCTTGGGGATGACGTAGTTCTAGAATTCACGTCGTAATTGTTCGTCACTTCTGTACCGGATGTACCAGCTTTATTTTCATCTTCCTCGTCGTAATAATAATACACATACTCGTATTCGTAATCCTTTCCGTTAGGTCCTTTCTTCACCTAAATCAAAATAAATTCGAATTATTGACGTATGTAAAGTGTTCATTTTTGTTTCTTTTTTTTAAATCATTACGAATTAATTATTTACTTGAATACGGGAATTTGTACCAGCTGGTACCAGACTGACGTCACTCAAATCATCGAAATGTCGGTCGGCAAATGAAGCATAAGTATCTTTTCCATCCTGACGAATAATATTCACTGGGACGAAATCGAATGAACGAGCTTCTCGTGAAGTCGTCAATATTGGCATCATAGTTGTTGGGTATTCATTACTGAAATATTTTTTATTTTATTCTTTAATCCAATATTCCTTAAGCCACGTTTTTCAAAATAGATTATAATAATATTTATTAGTTAATTATTATGAATATAATTATACAAACATACATTATACTAACAATTTGTTATTGAGTAAAATAATAAATTTTGCATAATAATATGAAATATTAAATTAATATTAGATTTACCTGACGTAAACACCTGGAATAACCGAATCTTTTTGAAGATTGACCATCGTACGATGTGAATCAACTTTCTTGACGCCATCTTCTTCCAAAACTCCAGTATCGCTAAAATTTTCCAGTTCGACGCGTGCTTGCCTCTTCGTCTCGAATTTATCCAATTGATCATCGTTTTTAGGTTCCAACAATTTAATCGTATCTAAATCCAAACCTCTTTTATTCGAATATTCTAATTTCAAATTAGCTTTCTTCACATTTTTCGTATCTTTCGAAATCGTTTTCTTCTCATCGATAATACTTTCCTCCTCGATTATGGGCCTGACTAAGTCATCTGGTATTTTATGAGACGTTATAAACTCTAAAATACACAATTTTTTCCTTTGAATTTTCTTTTTTACAGTTTTTATGATTTAAAAAATTAATTATTTCTTTTTTTATTACCTCCAATGGGAATTATTGCTTTCGAATCATCTTGTTTGCTTATGGATGTTTTCGAAGTAACATCCTTTGCTCGAACGTGTGCAATAATGCAGCATATTCTATGAGACAAAAAAAAGAAATACTATTATTATTGTACTTATATTATATTGTATTTAATTCTATTAGAAAAATAAATAAAAAGAAGAGAGGAAGAGATTGGATGCAAAACGTAATGCTCTTAGTTTTAATGTACATTGAGAATGACGGCATAGTGATCGACACGACAACATAGTGAAAGTTTAGTTCAACTTTTGCTACAGGCTGCATCAGAAAGGCCACCTTCTCTCTAAAGAGAGTTTCTTCTTTACAAATTTAACCGTGTCTTCTATTTTTATATTCTTTCTTCTTCTTTTATTGTTTTTTTTTCTTTCTTTTTTTTCTCTTTTAACTTTTCACTATTTTTTCTTTACTCTTTCTCTTGGTCTTGTTCTTTGGTAAAAAAAAAAAAAAAGAATTGGAAGTTAAAGTTTATAATTTAGGTAACAAGATCTTCGTGAATCGAAATTAATTATGGGAAGATTGGAGAGAGAGGATTCGTGTAATTGGAGAAGAAAGCGAAAGCTTTTAATAAATTCGTCCTCGTCCTCATTTTGGTCTCAAGGTCTTTCGGATGAACGACTTCTGGGAATTTAATTTGGATCATTTCGGACGACCTACTTATACCTAATCATTCATATAATACACTAATTAATTATATTTGTATACAATACTAATAGTATTCACAATTAATTAATATATTAATAATATTTGTTATATAATAAACTATTAAAATAAAATAATAAATAAATAAACATTTATTAATTTAATAAAATTACAAATAATTGGAGTAAATATAATGAAGATAAATCATACGGATAGATATAAAAGATCGAGGATCAAATATCTTTTAGCGATCGATGTTGCATTTGCAAGGTCGATCAGTTACGATCGATTTCTCCGTTGACGATTTTAAGACGAAGGATAGCAACTTGCTAAATTAGCCCTACGTGTCTTCCAACTTTTTTGGCAAGGTCTTTTAAATCAAAAAGAACAAAAAGAAAAAAAAGAAGAAAAAGAAAAAGAAAAGAAAAGAAAAGAAAAGAACAAATGTTGTTTAGAGGACAATCTATTTTCTACGAGCTTACGAGAGTGAGTATGAAAAGTGACTTGTTAATACAAGTACACCTTTTTTAAACATGTTCTTATTTTTTGTTTATTAATGTACATATACGTATAGATATTTATCTATGTATAAGAACAGGATGAAAAGAGTTTGCGACACTCGCTAAAGCACTCGCTGTGTTGTCAGATTCGGCCGTTCCGTCTGGCCGATTCTTCCGGTTCGCAAAGAGATCGTATACCTATGCGTTTTAGAACGTATGTATTTATACATATCTATGTATATTTGTATGTATGAAGCAGGTGGAAATACTAGTTTTATCATTACAACATATGTTCTTTCTATCATATAGTTTGATATTAAAATGATTGATAATATGAAAGGATATTAATAATCACTTTTATAAATGAATAATTTACTATAGGAATTTTTTTTTTCACATTTATTAAATTGTTATTATTATTATTGAGGTATAATTTAAGATTGTTATTCCAAGATATTTTTCTACATATGTGTGTGTATGTTAATGTATATAAGAATATAATATATATATATGTATATTTTGTGAAATCGTATGGGAGAAAGCTGTTGCTTCCACTATAAAACATTTATACACATAACTATCTATGTATACATACATACATAAATACATACGTACATGAGAGTATACTCTTTGCACATGAATATTTTCAGTGACACGAAACCGTTAACTTATGTAAGTTATAATATTACAACATTGAAGTGAGTCTTCGATAAGACTTAGGTAAGTAATTGTTTATATATTATATAAATTTTGAGTAGAATGTACACACATGTGAGTGTGTGTGTGTATACATGTGTGTGCTTTTCTTTTTAATAATACACATTTTTCTATTTTTATTTTAATATGTTTCGAGGAAAAATAAACACACGTGTGTGTGTGTCTCTCTATCTCTCTCATTGTTGATGATATAAATTATTTTTTATAAAATTATTCATGTAAAATAACAATGAGAAAAGATCATTTAGTTAATTTAATTAATTTATTTAAAATATCTAACTTTTCAGATATTTTACTTTAATTTGTTTCTTAATTATTTTATTTTTGGAACTCCTACATATGGTTATATTAACCATTATGTTCAAAATTGATTCTATTCACGTACTCGAAGATATTTTTATACTGTAAAAAGTTTTATTCATTTTTATATATATATATATTGGATTAAAATTTAGTATTGTAAATTGGGAGCATAATCGAATCTGTTATTTTATCTTTGGTTGACTGATACATATGGTCATTACGATCATACTCAAAATTAATTTTACTATCGTACTTGATAATATTTTTTAATTCTACAAAAAATTAGATAAATTTGTATATATTAAAAATATAATTTAGTATTATAAATAATGCACATATAATTAAATCTATTTTTTTATCTTTGATTGACTCTTACATATGGTCGTTTTAATGAGCCCAAAAAATCGATTTAATTTCAGAAGATTTATCTTCCAAATGAAAAACGTTTCCAACATTTCATTACATTGAATTATATTAAAAAACAAAAAATTATATATAAAATCATATACGTAGATCATAAACTAAGAAGAATTATTTATCTTTCTTTGTAAAAAGATCTATCGATCCAGACGCCATAATAATTTAGGACAGTATCGACGTTCTTCGATTCTCGATCCGATTCGATACGATTCTGTTCGATTCGATTCGATTAGACGTTAGATTTAATTTAATTCTCGAAACGTGAATATTTAATCACCCTTTCACTTAAGTTAAAACTGGTCCAAAATAAATAATCGTACGTTTTTCGTACGTAAAAGTAATTATTTTCTCTTGTTTTTTTTTTCGATAAACACACACATGCACATACACATAAATGTATTCAGATAAAGATACACTTGAAATGAAAAATGTAAGATGGAATGATAATGAACAATAAAAAGATATTAAAATATAATGAAAAACGCTAAAAGAATAAAAGAAAAAGAAAATAATGATATTTCGAAGAGACACCAACGTAAACGTCATCGTTGATCGTCGTACTCACAAAAGAACGTTTTTCAGCCACATGTCTGCACAGCACACTTTCTTCTTTCTCCTTTTACTTTTTTCTTCTTCTTCTTCCTCTTCTTCTTCCCTTTTTTTTAGCACCACCAATCAATAAAACGATGATTTTATATTTCAATATTTTCTCGTGAAAAAATGTTCTTTTTCCAAATACAATTCGAATCTTTGATCAACTATTTGTCAAAACACTATTTTCTTTTCGTTCCAATGTGTTCCTTTAGATATTTTTCTTGTAAAACGTCGATCTTTGTCACCGTATAACACACGTGATGATCATCGCTCTGATCTCTTAAATCAAGATCATTAGCGAGATGATAGATTATACGATATTTTTCTTTTTTTTATAACGATATTTCCTTTCAGGTCGTCGTATTCGCGCAACTTACGACCTACGACTCGCGAAATCAAACGAATGATTTTCCCCCGTTAATGTCGGATCATACAAACACCTACACACACTCACACACGTACACATAGACAAACTTAAGAAAGAAAGGAGGAAGGTGAAGAGGTGAGGTGAGCAGGGGAGGTGGAATGGAGGGGTTAATAAAAAATGAGAAAAAATAAATGGGCAGAAAGGGGAAGGGAAATAGAATAATTATAATAATAATGATAATTAATAAAAATAAAAGAAAGAAAGAAGGATAAAGAAAGATACGTTCAGTCACGGAGTAAAAGTAAGAGGTAGTCGAAGAACGTGGTGGTGAGGGTATGAGAACGGCGGCAAAGGCAGACCTCTACTTATACGACACCCACCACGGCCACCTGGATACACCCCACCAGTGCAATGAAAACTGGACACCACGTAGGAAAGACTCGACTTCGATGTACGAGAGAAAAGGAGAGATTCTTTATGCTTCTAAAACTCCCTACTACTTATCCCGAACGAAGCACCGTTCTTATACTACCATGTAAAACGTTCATTTGATTTTATATAAATGTTGTTTGTTCTTTAATTAATATGTAGATGTACATTATACCAATTAAAGTATTTCTATTCAAAGTTGTAAACATTCATTTATTAAGATAAAAAGAAAATTTATTATCAAAGATGTGTACTTTTTTTTGTATTCATTATTTGGTTGGATAAATTTATGTGTTTATTGTTTAAATAAAAATTCATTAGGTCATGAATTGTAAAGTAACAAAATTGATTTTTAATTGAGTGATATAATAAATTGTTAAATTAAATGAAATTGTAATGAATTTTAATGTAAGATTTTAGTTGAATAAATATATAAATTTTCTATTTGGGAGATGATTTAATGTAGATTTTAGCGTTATTAAGCGCTTTCACAATAAGCAACGACACGAGAATTAGCTAATGTAGATATATGAATAAAGGTTTATGGTACTTACGTTGATGGTGTTGTTGTGTAGTAATCGTTTTAAAGAGAAGAGTTTAAGTTAGTTTATGTGGAATGTCCGCAAAGCCTTGAAAAAAAAAAAAGAAATAAAGAAAGAAAAGCAAAACAAACGTTAGTGAAACTCAAAGCTTCCGTTATCGATGCTAGCTAATACTGACACGAGTAAACTTTGCAAAATACAGGAAGAACATAATTCTTTTCTTTTTAATATTATGTACTTACAAGTTTGTCGCTTGTCTAAAGATTATAATTTTTCATTGTTTCATTTAACAAATATTTATAATTTCATTCAAATCATTCTCTAATTATTTTCTTTTTCTTTTATATAGATATTATTGTTCTGTTTCTTTTTAATTTCTAATCATGTTCATAGTCGAATGATTAGAATTTTTCGCATACATTAGTGATTACCTACTTTCTTCTCTTCTTTTATATAATATTAGATATTTAATATTATTTTCAAATACAGTTTATATCCTTTTTATATAACATTGCAAATTATTGAATTTTTAAAATTACAATTAATTATTATTTAGTAATTAAAAGGCATGATTTGAGTTGAATTAATCGTTCCAGTATATAGCTTTTTGTATCGATTCATCGCGATGTCTCGAGTAGTACTGTAGGTGTCAAGGCCCAATGAAACCGTGAGCTGTATAAACTAGCCGATAGTTGC